GCGTGTGCGGAGGATGATATTAAAACAGGACGGTCGCGCATGGATGGACACATACTCGAGAAGTTTCAGCCTTCTAGTTTTCTGATTCTCAAGTTGAAAGTGGATGACAAAAAGTGCGAACACACAGACACACAGATACACACACAGCCTATTGCCAATATGTGTTTTTGCAAACTGCGTATATGCAAAAACACGTAACTAATGCAAATCAAAGACCTCAACTTCTGCATGTCTCTTTAGCCCAAAAAAAATTTATCATTACAGTCCGGCAGGCTTTCTGCACAGTATTAGTGATTATGCTTGCCTTTTTTGAGGTTCATAAAACAAGGATTATTGCTTTCACATAAAATAGGGGGCAGTAATCCTGACTACGCGTATGTCCAGGCGCTATAGATTTCTTCTGTACAGCGGTAGAAAACTTTTGAGCCGCATGGTTTTGCATTCGTCCAAAGATCGCCCTTAAAATTTCCCCCTAAGCCAGCGGCTGTAGTAGATACTGTTTTATAAACAATGCAGGTGCATAGGATTCTCTTGTACTGAACGTCTTTTTTTCTCTTTTTCGTGTTATCTACATCAAGTTAGTGGAACTCAAGCAATATTCTTAGTCGTATGGGTGGGAGAGTGAAGCAATATCAAATGAAATAAACCAGTAGTTATCAAGGCGAACCGACAAATCGCCTCCAGCATACATTGTTTAAAAAAAAATTCTGTAAGCCTCTGATTTGAGGGAATGTTCTTTTCCGTGTAAAACAGAAGTAACAAGGATGCCTGGACAGTCGATTTGGCCATTCTGTTGTAACAGTCGCGTTAAGGCGCTTCCACACTGCCTGCGCAGTCGGCCCCTTCAATTCTGGGCCGTATAACTTCAGTTAGTACCTACAGTCGTAGGACAATGTCGCTCTTTCAACCACTATTTTCATTAACTTTCTCTTGTTTGTTGCGTGAATGTGTGATATGCGTAGCCTTAATCTAACTCACACTGCAGGAAAGCAAGCGGCAT